GGGGGGGGGGGAACGACGAATATTTTCCATTTGTATTTTTAGTAAGATTTTTCTGGTTATAGTTTGGAGATTAAATCCAGGGAGACGGATTAGATTTTGCCCTAGTTTAGGTAAAAAATGAGGGCCTGAATTAAAGCAGTGGCTTGGGATCAAGAGGAGTGACTAGATTTGAAGGGAATTTGAATATAGAATCAATATGATGGACAAGGTGTAGCATATAAGAAAAGCCTAGGAGGTCTCAGGTATTTATTTGGTTTTTGCCTGCTAGCTGCTGCTGCCTTGCCCTGAGGGGAGGGAGTACAGGAGAGGTGTGGTGTGAAGTGCTGAGTTTGAGGTGTGTGGATGCTCTGGGTGGAGATGGCTTTTAGGCTTCTGAGTATTCAGATCTGGAGCTTACTAGAGTCGCCTGGACTGGAACAGACTTGGGCGACAGCAGCATGCAGATCAGAGCTAACAATCCTTGGCCAATGTCGATAGTGGACCATGTGGGTTTTGTAGAACAGAATGAAAGTTTTGGGGTACTTAATTTTTAAGTTGTATAAGTACTACATTTTTATGGAACAGTCAATTTGTAAGTTTTACAGATTAAAAGTTATCCTGTATATCCCAATATCACAATTTCCCAGAAGTATCTATAGTTGACAGTTGGGTGGGGCTTCTAGGCATTTATATTAATATTTCAGGACTGGAGGGGGAGCCCCACATATGGAGAAGGAGCAGGCATAGAGGTAGAAGGCAAACCACAGTGATTGGTACCATAGATTACCAAGAGGGTTACAGAGGAGGGAGTGTCACTGGATCAGAGTAAGGGCTGAAGTGGCAGTTGATTGGGTTTCTCTGTCGTCTGTGACCTTAGAGCCCTTTAGTGTGGTAAGGAGTGGGTAGAAGCTGAAGTGGAACTGGAGGATATAAGCACATTTGAAAAGGCTTGGCTCTGAAGGGAAGGACAGTGTAGGATTGAGAGAAGGACTTCTTACAAAACCAAAAGAAAATGGTGAGTGACATTTGGGAATTCGTGTATGTTGAAAGAATGCCAGAAAAGAGGGAGTGACTAATTTATGGAGTGAAATATTTGAGGATGCAGAAATGCATGAGATTCAGGGCCCATGGTGACAGTGATAATGTTTTTTCTAGAAAACAAATTAGAAACTGAAAACTTGAAGCACTGTAGGACATGTAAAGTATTCTTTTCAGAGAGCAATAAGTGCCTTTCTGTGCAGGATGTAATGTTTCTTCTACAAAGAATTAAGAGCAAGGCTCTGTTTCTGCTCTCTGAGGACCAGAATCTCAGATACACCAATATGGCCACCAATAACCAGTGATATGCCGGTAAATGTTTAATGACTGGCTCTCAAAATCAAAGGTGCTAATTTGTACTATTTGCCATTTTTTGTGTTGTAAATATTCCTGCCAAGGCAGACTTCAAGCTACCAAGCTGATGTCACCGAAGGTGTAGTTGGGAAGATGTATGTTTAGTAGGCTCTCCTGAGCTGGTACCAGCTGAGTCCAGCCCCCCATGGCACACCACTGCTGTGCAGAAGGAATTGCAAAGAATCAAGTCAAATGGTTGCCCACTGATGATCACCTTTCTCACCGCTAATGTTTTGTCAGTTGAAGCACCTGTAATATAAAATGTATGCTAAAGCAATACTGTTATGACTTGTGCGACAGCAGCTGTAGTTGAGGACCATTGGAGTTCAAAGAGTCTCCAGGGGCATGTCATTTTCTAGAAGAGCAAATAACCATATGTCAGGTAGATTAGGAAGGAAGTGAGACCTGCCTATGCCATTATGGATGGTTGGATTTGTGCCCTGGCAGCAGAGTTCAAGAGCTCAGATGCCCTCAACCCTCTTCTTTTTTCTTTATTTAAAAAAATATATATATTTATTGATTACAGAGAGAGGAAGGGAGAGAGAGAGAGAAACATCAATGATGAGACAGTCATTGATTGGCTGCCTCCTGCATGTCCCCTACTGAGGATCAACCCCAAAACCCAGGCATATGCCCTGACCCGGAATCAAACCGGTATCTTCTGTATCATAGGTCGATGCTCCACTGCTGAGCACAATCCTCTTCTTTATAATCATGTCACCTTGATAGCCAGCCATCTCAAGAACTGTTGGGACCTGCAAAGATGGGCTTGGGCTAACTATAAGTTGTTACCTAGCTGTATGACTTCTGACAGGGTTCTCAGTCTGGATTTCAACTCTTATTTTTAAAATGAGATTGTTGGACTAGTTTACTGTTTTGTTTACCACTGAATCCTTAGTATATCAGGCCTAAGCACTAAATAATCTGTAGGGGATAACTTTGTTTGCAATAAAAGATGCTGTAACTGTAAAGGCAATCTTACCCGAGGCTTTGTTGTTGTTTTGTGTCATTTTTTCTTTAAATTTCCATCCCATCTTGGTCTCAGCTCCCCATCTTCACCTGTTTTACCTCTGTGGGATGGCCACCTTTACTTACAGGAGTGTATCATATCCGTCAAGAGCACTAAGGCTAAATATAGAAGGTCACAAAGTCCTGCTCAGAACTTTTCTCCTTGCTCCTGTCTGGCCTTCCTCCATACAACCCTCACAGTACTGCCAGAGAAACACCCCACACGACTGATAAGGTCTTACTCTGAATATTCCAGGTGTTCCTGATCCCTGTAGAATAAAGTACACACTCAAGGCCTTGGCAATATGAGGCCTGTCTACCTTTTTAGCTCCCTCTGGGAAAGGAGTTTGAGAAAGAGAAAATGCTGTGGAGTTGGAGCACTGGGAGCAAGGGAGACACTGGAATGAGATGAGAGGAGAAAGGTGGGCAGGGGCCTTCCATGTACCTGGTCCAGTATTGTCCAGTAGACCTTCCTGTGATAGAAACGTTCATGTATCTGTGCTGTGTGATTCAGTAGGCAGTAGCCACATGTTGGGCTCTTGAATTGTGACTCTGACTGAGGGACTGAATTTTAGATTTTATTAAAAATAGCCACATGTGGCTAGTGGCTGCCATATTAGACAGTGCTGGAAACATTTTGAGAAAGTTAGAAGGGCACCCAAGCAGGCCAAAGGCATGACTTTCCTTCTTAAGAAAGAGCTAAGACTCGGAAGACCTGGCCCTGACTCTGCCTCCCACTATGCCTGTGGATTTATGGCACTTGATCTCCCCTGTTTAGCTTCCCGATCTGTAAAATGGGAATAGAAGAAAGATTGGATTACATTCTTTCCAGTGCTAAATTCTTGACTCTATTGTGATTTGCTTTTTATTTGTGTAAATATTACCACACCTAGTCATATTTAATAATAGTGAGTTTGCTTTAAATTACATACTGTGGCTGTGTAATTGGGTGTGTGAGCATTGCTGCCTGTCCACATGCTCTCCCAGGGAAAATTTTCTCAGCTTTCTGAATGTGGACTTGAGTTTAATAAAAAATAATTCTTTCCTGCTCCTACTTCGATTGATTTAATACCAGACTATCTTTACTAAACAATTGATTAGCTCATGAATATACCTCAATTTATACACTACCAGTATTGAAATACTCCCCATATCACCCCCAGCCTCTAAAACATGTGGAAGGGGGTTTTGGGATTTGAGTCTGGAAAACCCCAACTGTATTACATGTGATTGAGAGGAGAGAGCATTTGCTGGATCAG